CGACATTTATACTCTTCAGAGGGGTATGATTCGGTTTTAAAAAAGTTTCTGATTATGAGATTATTTAATACCGTGAAGTGCGCGGTTCATAAAACATCGTGCCTCTGAATTTACTAATGTTGCTTGTAAAGTTTACAGTATGGCACACATCCACGGCTACATTTGATGAACTCTATATGATTTCCTCTTAATACCATAAAGAAATGTATGGTTTTCCGTGCGTAAAAAATATATGATCTGCAGTTTGTAAATCCTGAATACAAGTGTAACGGCAGGTTAGGGTTCAGAATTACTCGAGAATTTAAAAAGTTAGCACACCTACTGCATTTGTTCTTTTAGGTACTGAGTTCGGAAACTTTGTAGAAAACTGCGGAATAAATAAAGCCTAGCAAATACGAAGGAAGGTCATGCACTGCGTGTATGAAGGTGTGGGTTTGCTTTCACATTTGTGCTTTCTTGATATTGGTAAAATCTCGTAAAATGCCCCCAGATGCGAAACATATGGCTTCATAGATTAACCCTGATGATATTAAGACGCCTGTGTGGTCCAGCATTTCTTTCGAAAGATCGATTCTCTGACGCATGTCACTCCATCTTGTGAAAGGAAAAGTGTAGAAACTGATGATTTTTGATATCAGCATTCTCATCACCAATGTCAACCCATGACGGCTACGTCAAGGGCACGGTTGGTATCTTCCAGAATGTCCTCATTATACTCCCTCGAATTTCACTCATTTGGTTAGGTTAATTTCTCAACATTGTCATTATATATATTTTTTAAGTTTCATAGTAGAAACAGTCTCCACCTCTCTTTTTTTCTTACCAGTGGCACCAGAAATTTCCTTTCCTACTTTCGCGAAACAATTTAGACTAAAAAGAGGTGTGACACCATTCTACACACTCCCGCAATCCTATGCTGTGGTAGTACAATGAGCTACCTTCCCAGTTTTATTCCAATAGCAGTCCTCGTCGAAGTTTTCGTAGAATTTTCATTTAACTTTTCCACTCTTTCGTTAGGGAGAGGGAAAAATTAAGGCAAATTCCTCAGGTAAAGATGTTTGGTAGTCTTTTTTACGACAGCCATAAATTTTGCTTAGCGAACCGTTTCCAGTAAGAAAAATTCAAGGGAAGGACTGGCGCCAACTCCATCCCTTTCGATTCCACCCTACGAGTGCCCCGGTTTGAGATCGAGAAGTGGCAGTAAAGGTCTTCCAGTTCTCTTACAGTCAGTCACCAATCTCATGAAATGTTAATCAAAATTCAGAAATGCCTTTCCAACTAGGTAGGATTTCTCAAGTGGGTTTTGTACTATTGATTGTCACACACCATAATCTCAAAGTAGTTCAGTTGGGACAGGACACCGGCTTTTCGAACGAGGTTCATTCTGGCCGCCTGAAAAAACTCCACCCCGCAAAAAATTAATGCTTAAGTAGTGTGATTTTCTTTAATTGATTTTCAATATCGTTATAAACTCAGACATATCTTATAGAAGACATATTCAAAAAACATTCTCCTTTGCACTGATTTGGCAGCAAACTACATCTTCTTCGAATTTCATACTTAAAGAAAATGTGTCCTCCAGTATTAAGCGTTCGTAATTATGATATTATTAAAATCGTAAAATGACCAAATAGCATCGTTTGTCCGTTTACTAGTGCTTCCTGCGAAGTATTCAGCATAGTCCATATCTATTGCAAAATTTCATGAGCCCAACGTGGTATTCCCTTAGCGGCACAAAGGAAGGTATGAAAAGTATATGGCTTGTACATCGTTAAATGCTAAACGAAAATACAATGGAAGACAAGACTCAAAATAATTCGAGAATCAAAAACTTTTTATAACCCTAACGTCACTTGTTTGAGTATACAAGATGAAAAGACGCGATCCAGTGCGCAACGGGTACAGGAAAGGCTATCTTTAACTACGTATTCTGTAAAATATATTTGGATTTACAAAGGTATTGGAGATCGGTGGAAAAATCCATACCAATTAAGTACATTTTTTACCGAATGCTGTTCCTTCAGGCGACAGAAAAGAAGTGCACCCCAAAGGCCTGCAAGTGATATGGCGTGATAATCAATAGTTCATTCCCACCGAAGTAAGCCTTCCTAATCAAAAACTCATTCCAGAAGTTCGCTTAACATTTCGTGAGATTGGTCGCTGAGTATACGTAACTCAGGCAACATTTCCGCAAACCATTTGGAAAAGCGATGCATATCCATACAGGTATTTTGTTCTGTCGAATACAGGCAACTAGCCACTTTTCCTCTTATAAGTGCAAACTGATTTGGTTTTCCAGGCAGAGCACGTGAAACTCGGGAAAGCCTGGGACACTGGTACAAATAACAAGGACGACTTTTTTTTACCTTTATTAGGTTGCGTGTCTTCGTCCGACAGTATCAACATACAAGGAGCGGAATTCTGACGAAGAGACCAGTTGTATCCATAGTATAGATGTTCGAGTTCTTTACGAGCAACAACTCCAGTACCACGAAAAGATGACTAATTCCAACTGCTGACTACCATTCACACGACCTCCCCATTGCCAGCGGACAGTGTTGTACTCTACATTCGAAAGCTGAGGCGAGGCCGAGAAACAAGTGCGCACTTGTCGACACTGTTCGGGTTGTTCACTCAGCCGAACTTTTAGCCCAATCATTTCCGCCGAAAGCGCATTGGAATTTGCATGTGCTGAGACGGCACACAGAGATCACTGAAACTCTGCAAACATTGGCTTGTTTTCTTGACGCTCACGTGTTCAAGTTTCAAAAAAACTGTTGTTGACAGGGGGACCTC